ATTAGTTTTACAACACTACTTAATTAATCTTTTCGAAACGAGAACGCATTTCGAAATTTTGGTTGACATTTCATGAGTTAGCACATCTACTGTATATCTCGACGGTTGGAATGTCACATGTTCACAGATTGTGGAAGGGTGGTCAGCTTAAGCGCGGTATAAGATACAATAAACCAGATTGGTCACGGGGTTTATTTGGCTCTTACCTTCATGATATATATAGCTACTTTTGGTTACCTCGTTTGGACGTGAAAGGCTCCAACCTCCTCTATAGAGCATGCTGTCTATTCGGATGGTTTTTGTCCAGTGTCTTCGGGGAATGAACTCCCAGCTTTGAAAGCCTCCGTATAGCCACTGCGAGCGCAATGGTCGTGCATAAATTGTTATTTTCCCCCTATGTGGAGAGTCCACTCGCAGCTCCGTTGCTCGTGGACTACCGTGGGGTCTGAAGACTCGTTTGGCGTTAACCACCTTCCCAGACGTCCTTATCTCAAGGTCACCGTTAAGGCTATGCCTGACGGAGGGCAGGTCGAAAAAGGAGCACTGTTTCTCTGCAAATTGTTTACTTGGGAAGCCAAAAATAGCTTCAACCTGAAGCTCCTCGCGAGATGGGGACTAGCGTACTTAACTGCGCCTAAAGTCGGGCTCATGTTGGTCGAAGTCGGCCGGGAGCACAAGTCCTGCTACTAGGCCGGAGGCTGAGGAGTCGCCCTATCCCCTGCCTTCAATGTTCGCGTAATTATGCGTGTCAGACGGGATTACGCACAAGGGAAGGCAATTATCCCAAACTGATACCCACGCACTCCAGCTAGGCCACCCCCCTCGCATTCTGCAGTTGCGAAGTTAATTGGCTGCGAATGAGGCAGGCTGAAGGGTAATTGGAACTGTCATTTTGACGAGAATGCAATTTAACCGGTATGTGTCGGCCTCCGCCCCCGCATACATGGTCCTGCGCGGTTTTTGTAAACCTGCGGTACTGGTATTTCGGCTGGGTCAGTTGGAATGCGCTGATAGTGGAGCACATGATCCCGCAGATTGACCTGCTTTCTCCAAGAAGGTCTGAAACGTGGGCATCCGCGGTATCGTCTATCAACAAATACTAACACCTGCAGAAGAGTGCGGTGTGATTTGGTGGGTCTCAAACAATTTGAATTGTCACACTGACCTTGCAGTGGGATGAGATTACCGCTCGGGCTGTCTCGCAAGGAATAACGGGTAATATGTGGTTGTGTTGCCGCACCTAATGGATACAATACGGTTAGAGGTTAGGGTTAGGGGTTAGGGCAACTATTTATCAACCACTCAAGGTACAACCGCACATCCCAATAGCTTTTCTTTTGCATACAACTACTTGACCTTGTCGCCTGTGCGTTCTCCGGCCCCACCCGTAAAAACCCCTATCGTCACCGGTCCCGTATTACAGGCGGCTGGGGTTTGTTTACCTCAGGTGCGGCTACATAATCATACCTGGCCGAATAACGTTTGACTGGAAATTTCAGTGCTCGGCGATCGTCCAGAAAGAAATCTCTCTCTCCCCCCACCTGTAGTTTCTGCGTGAGATCGGCTGTAGGCGTTTCGCTTAGTGTTCTATTACTGCAAACCACCGTACCATAAATTTCGATTTTTAAATGTTCGTGCTGCATTGAATCAGCGATCTCCCACCATTGAAGTTTTTATACTTACTCCTGATTCCATTCCTTGAACGCTTTTCGAGCGTAAGTCTATGTTATCACAATGTACCCTCTTCCTGTGCGTCCCTCTGTCTCTAGTCCCGACAAGATGGTCAGTGCCCTCAGTCTGTTTCGGGGTCGGCAGAACTGGAGTTCCGGGGGCTACTGCCGCGCCTCTGGCAACAGTTGCTCCAACAACCAACTCCTCTACTCCGCCAACATTGCTTCCACATCCAGAGCCGGTGGCGGTGCTGGGGGTGTAGGCGCTGCCATGACAACGCGCGCTGCAGCTGCCGCTGCTGCGGCCGCCGAGCGCACCGGGACAGACGAGGAGAGCAGCAGTAATCGATCGTCGGGCACGCGAAGACGCGGTGGTGGTGGCGGTTCCAACGGTAGCTCCGGCCAGCGCGGTGGCGCCAAACGGAAGCGTCGACGCGGTTCCGCTACTCACACCGCCGCCGCCACCTACACCTGCGCTATCAGTCCCACAGCCGCCGCCAAGGTGGGTTCACCGACAGATCCCGCCGCGTCTGCTGCTTCCACCGCCGCCAGCGTTGCGGTGGCACCGGCTCGAGCAGCAGCAGCAGCAAGTTCGGGTGTTGACCAGTGTGATGGACCCGTGGAAGCCTGCCCTGCCTCTGACTCACAGACGGATCCAGGATCCTCGGTGTCAGCCCGGGACGCAGACCAGTCTCCGTTTGTCTGCCCACAGCCCGGTTGCGAGAAGCGTTTCGCCGACATGGTTGGCCTGCGATACCACCTCGACATGGGCCACATGCGGTCGTCTGAGGACGGATCAGGTGTGGAACCAGCTTCTAAACAGAAGCCACAGGACATTCAGGGGACTAAACCAGCGAGCGACGCCAGCCAGCAGCAACAGCGGCAACCTCCACGGCTGGCAAAAGCCAAAACTGAGAGTTCCACCTCGCTGACCTACGCCGATGACGATCAACCCCCGCCACAGTTGGATCGCGGCCCTGGCGCCGAGGAGGAACTGGGTGGAAACGAAGACACTACGGGGACCGACCTGACGGAGCCACCTGCCGCTAGTCCCGCATACTCGGACATCTCGGACGACGCCGCATCTCCCCTGAACCCAGTGATTGTCGTGGACGCCCCGACTAAGTCCACCACAGCCACGACTGTGACCCTACCTGTGTCATCCATGGGTGTTCCCTTACCGTCTCATCGTCCTCCCTCCGTTTCCTCAGACCTCTACCACAACGGGCACCATCAACTCCAGTCAGCTCACCCACACCCACCCCACCACACCAACACTCCTGACATCTTCACAGCTGCGGCCCTAGCAGCGGCTGCAAAGGCCGCCGGTGGACTCCCCGCGCCCTGTCCGAGTCTGCGAGTGGTGAGCGGACTGCCTCAACCGTCCGCAGATGCCATCGGCGGCCTCCAGCGGTCCTCGCCCCTGCTTCTCAACAGTGCTGCCGGCCATAACGCGCCCAATCAGCGGGTCGCATCTCCCTCGGCCGGCGGCTTCTTTATGCGTGGCGCCGCTGGCCTATCCGCGTCGCCGGACTTTGCCTCCCATCAGCAGGTGCATCGCTCCAACATACTGCCCTCCCCCCACACTACTGCTGCAGGGGGTGGCGGCGGCGGCGGCACGACCTTCGATTTCGCCCAACAGGCCTTTCCCAGCCTGCCGCATTCTGATGGCGCTGGTGGTCTGACCTTCCAGTCGGTCCGCAACTGTGTCCCCATGTCTTCCGGAGGCCTAGGTGTGCCGGTGGGCATGGTCCCATTCGCCCGTCTTGTTCGTCCAATGGACGGCGTCGAGAAGCGGTTCCCGCTCTGTCCTTCCTCCATCAGCAGTACGACGGCGGTCAGCACCGGCGAAGCACCCAATCACCTGGTGGCGTCTTCTGCCCCTAAAAGTGAGTGTGTGCCTATACGCGGATCAGTCCTCATTTTCGGTTTTCATTTTGTTAATTTTCCTGTTACTCCAAGTAAACCACTGCTCTGAGATGGGTCGGATCAGCACTGAACTGTAGCAGGTGATGCTGAGGAGGAGGAGGGTAGTGCGTCCCTTCCCGTCTTGAATAGAGATCCACTGTCGTCTGTTAGGTCTTGGATCCAAACTCTTATGGAATTTACTCTGGCCAAGGACACCAACCTGCTCCCCAGAGTGGACTTTTGACTTGCCCTGTCTGCAAGCAAAAGAAGGTAAGACCCGCCGTTAGAAATCTTGGCTTCTGAAATGGCCACTTTGAAAGCCCGTATGTGGGGGTGTGTCGCGGAGTGAGACGATTGGTCGGAGGGGAGCATCTGGCTTGTGTACCTTTGGAAGACCGTAGAATCTCGCCATCGGTGTTTCTGTGGGCTTTGCCATACACCAGTCTCTGACGGTGATGACTTTTTCCTTCTTTGGTCGAACCAGAATTCTGCTAACCTTCGCCAGTAGGTACTGGCGGCGTCGCTGATTTTGTAGGACTCCCGGTCGTTGAGGAGCATGAGGACTTTGTTTCGGTAATCTACCTTGTCAAGGATAATGGTTGACCGGTCTTTGTCAGCAGGCAGAATAACTACTTCGGTGTTCGCTTTTAACCCCCTTAAGGCCTTCTCTTCATTTCTTAGCGGCGAATGGGTTTTTCAGTGCGACATAAGAAGTGAGGAGATTTGATGTCGAAGGAGGTCTTTAGCCTCGTCTGTGGTGCCGGTTTGACGTAGCACCGATTCGAAAGAAGCAATGAAAGTGACCGGGTCGGCGTCAGTTGTCTTAAAATCGGATCCACGTTGTAGAACTTTTGTTTGGACCACAGTAAGATGTTTCGACGAGAGGTTGTGTAATAACGTTTGTTCAGTTTCCTGGGATTGTACGGTCTGCAGGGCCATGAACTTTACCGATAGGTCTTCATCTCTGTTAGCACGTTTCTTTCGTCCCAATGATATTAAGTTGCTCTCCAATGTGATGGCGGTCGATTCACCGCAGCGGCGTATATCAAGCATCCTGAAGTTTTTAGCATTGTGTGCGCATTTCTTTAGTCGTAGGGGACAATCTTGTA